TATAAACAAGTAGAGTATCATGCTAAATCATGCAGAGGGTAAAGGAAGCACACCTTTGAATTAAAGCACATCTTTTCAATTAAAAATAATAAGACATGTCTCTGGCTCAAAAAGCATACAGTCTTGCTGGAAAGTTAGCATATACACACAAAAATTAAAGTATTTCCATTTCTTTTAAAAAGACCTCTCTGGGGCTAGGGATTTAGCTCAGTGGTTCCGCCGCCTGCCTCGAAAGCACAAGGGCCTGAGTTCAGTCCCCGGTACCAAAAAAAAAAAAAAGAAGTTAAAAAGACCTCTCTGATTGTAAAATGTACCATTAGTTTGTTAACTGTAAGAAAAATAAGCCCTGCCAATTAATCTGACATATCAACTGTAATATGTATCCCAATTCCAAACATGCTAAAATGGGAGGAATAATCAAATTTTAAGAATCAATGAAATACATGTGTAATAGAGTGCATGGTAAGTGACAAATGAATCAAGCCCACAAAGCATGCAGTAACTCAGGCAAAATCCACAATTGTGAGTTAAGGCTAACAGGGAGAACATAGAAATTGAGCCTGGGCCAAAGACCCTTGAACCTTAGATCACTAAAGCAGAAGGAGGGATTGCAGAAAGCGGAAGCACTGAAACTGAGACCTAAAAGGTGGGAAGACAGGAAGTGCTATGGTGCGGTAAGTAGATCAGTTACAGGAAGACTGTATACAAAGGTTGGAATGGCAGTAAGCCAGAATGTTGGCAAGACCCAAGTGGTCTATGGGATTACACCTATTTTACCTAAGTTTTGGCTCTGAAGAGAACCAGTTTTATAGAACAAACATGTCCCACAAATCAAGTGTTGTCATTCATTTATTCAGCAGGACCAATTAAGCATCTACTAAGTTCAAGGTACTTTGGAGGAAAACAAACGAATTACATAAATTCAACCTATAAAAGGAGATTATTCATCTACTGAAATAACTGTAAGACAGATATCATCCTTATCCCCACTTTAAAGATGACACTAAGATCAATTAATTTACCCAGTGTCACACAGCTGGTAAGCAGCAGAGCTAATATTTATATCCAAGCACTTTGACTCTAAAGTTTACACTGACTGCCCAGCACACTGTGTCTCTGAGGGCAGTGCAAAGCAGAGAAAACTCACAGGCAGTTCAGAGAAAGGAAGAGTCCTGTTGGCTGTATGGTCAAGGAAAAATACCTAGAATTTGGTTTGTGGCCTTCTAGACAGTATGAAAAAGGGCATAAATTCTGGACAGGGCACAGTAAAGATTACTTGGGTCAAAGAAATAAACATTGAAATGTGGGTTTCCATTGCACAGAGATATTGAGTGCCAGTGGCTTTGGAAAACTGTAGACAAAGGAGAATAAATCCTCATGGTTTTTAATCAGAGGTCAGATTTGTGCACTAGGAAGATTAATTTGCACTCTATAAGATGGATTACAGCAGGAAGAAACTGTAATCAGGAAGATCAGTTAGAAAATCATTGGTACTCTAAACAAAAGGATTTTTTGACCTAGGGTAATGCTGAGGTTAAATCATGCTCTTTGTTTTTCATTAACCTCAAAAGGTTAATGATGTGTACTCTTCCTGAAAAACCTTTGGGTGGTTGATCTATGAACTTTTTTTGGTACCGGAGATCGAACTCAGGACCTTGTATTTGCAAGGCAGGCTCCAGAACCACTGAGCTAAATCCCCGGGCCTGATCTGTGAACTTTTTTTAAGCCTTATGAGCTTTATTTCCAGCTTGGATATTTAGTGGCATCATTTGACCTAAAATGATTGCCTCCTGTTTTCCATGTACAGCTCAAGTGGGAGAAAGCACAGGGTAGAAGAGGAAGCCCAGGAACCGGCAGCTATGAGGCCAGCAGCTCCCTTCTCAGTCTTTTGGTGTGTTTGTCAGCTTTCCATAACTATAGCAAATACCTGAGATAATCAACCTAGAAAAGATTTATGTTGGCTCACAGTTTTGGAGGTTCCAGGTCATGACTGTCCTTTTGGGGACCATATCATGGCAGGAGCACATGATATAGCAACATCACTCACCTCATGGCCAGAAGCCAAAAGAGAGTGAGGGGTGGGTAAAGATTCTACAGTCCTCTTCAAGGGCATACCTCTAGTGATCTGAAGACCACCCATGAGGCTTAAATGTTCCACTACCTCCCTGTAGCACCACCCTGTGGACCAACCCTTTAACACACTAGCAAAACATTCAAACTATAGCAGTTGGTAAAACAAATATATATTGTCCCTAACTGTACTCCTTAAGCTCTGTAAATGTAGAACCACCTTATAAAGCATGAATTTTAAAACTATTTTCCTAGTATAGGCAACCCTTCAAGTTGTAGAGCTGGAGATTTGTGTGATCACCTAGCCCAGATCTCTTCTTTCACTGAAAAAACTCTTTAGTTCTGATAAGAAAGAAATTCATGTCTCGGGCCACACAGTCACCAGACAGTGAAACATGCCTTTGATTCTCCTAGCTTCCCTGACTGGAACACCTCCAGCTCTCACCTCAGATGGACAGCCCCTGGCATGACTCTGTGTCCAAAGCTGCATTTCCAGTGATATGCCCATCACTCACAAACCACTGGGGCTGCTAGAGCCTAACAGAGTGCTGCATGGCATCTGGAGCATCTCTTGGGTTCCATATCAAGAGTTGTTTTAAAAACTCTTGATTGTTGCTGGGCATGGTGGGGCACACCTATAATCCCAGCTATTTGGTAGGCTGAGGCAGGAGGATTAGTTGTAAGCCAGCCTGGGCAATTTTTTTTTTTTTTGTACCAGGGATCGAACTCGGGTCCTTGCACTTTCGAGGCAGGCGATGGAACCACTGAGCTAAATCCCCGGCCCCAGCCTGGGCAATTTAGCAAGACCATGTTTCCAAAATAAAAAATAAAAAAGGATGAAGATATAACTCAGTGATCCCTGAGTTCAACCTCCTGTATCATTAAAAGAAAATGGAGAAGGAAGAGGAGGAGGAGGAGATGAAGGAGAAGGAGCCACCTGATTGTTAAATTTGCCTGATTTGTTTTGATTTTTGCTGACTGGGGATTGAACCCAGGGCCTTTGCCCTGAGCTATGTCCCCAGCCCCCACCCCTTTAATGTTTTATTTTGAGACAAGTCACTAAATTGCCCAGGCTGGGCTTGAACTCATGATCCTCCTGCCTTAGCCTCCCAGAGTGCTAGGATTCCAGGCATGGGCCATCCCACCCAGCAAGTTTGACTGATGAACAGTCTTTATAGCTTGTTAACCTCTGAGCTCTCCCATTAGAATTAGTAGACAGGGCTTAGACTGGGATCAGAGAAAATTTATAACCACCAAATCCCTGATGGCAATTTCCATCAAGTTCTATAAACACCTCAGACCCAACACATCTTCTCCAAAACCATATTGATGTTCAGGCTTTCCAATTTCATTACGAGTGTCACCTAGACTAAAATTTTGTGGGCCTCCCAGATTTCCTTTGTGTCTGACTCCAGCAACCATCCACCAAGAACCATTGTACTTTTTCTTTGTAATGCTTCTTGTTTCTGTTCTTTCCTTTCCATTCCTGCCGTCATCCTGCTTGGACTTCCATGTTAGGCTATGATGAATGAGATACTTGGAAACTTACATAGAATAATAAAATTTTAAAAAGAAACTACCTCTTCTAACTCAGTTTGAGATCTAAGTACTTGTAGCATCACAAGATTTTTTTTTAATGTTAGTTTGAGACCCAGAATTGGCTTTTATCCTTCCTAATTGTAAGAAGAGTTGTACAAATCCATTTGGGAGACTCCAGCTGTAGCCCTCTGCATTTGCAGGGCAAGGCCTCTTTCTGTGGCTCTCTGGCTGTGAGAATCTCTGGGGGCAGCTTTACACAGGACAGATTCATCCTGAGCGGGCCTGGATGCCACCAGGCAGTGATTTGCATGAGGACAAACAATCTCTAGGATGCACTTCCTCAATCCATACTATGCACAAAGCAGGAACTAGATGCAAAAGGGATTGCTGTTTAAAAAATTCGACCTTACTTCAAAGAGTCACCCTGATTAAAATGGAGGAAAGCAACAACACATGAGAATAAAAAATTCCAGATCAAGATAATAAGTTTATCTTCTTGTTGTAAATAAACCAATCTACTATCAGGCACGATGTTAGATTCTGGGTAAAAACATATACTGGAGTTTCCAGCTACAGGGATTCATGGTCTAGTATAGCCCACCACCATAAACATTATTATGACAGAGGTAATCCCAAGATACTTTCAGAACCTAAAGTAAGATTGAAATAGTACTTATAATTATAGCTAGAAATGTATGTGCATGACAGGTGCCAACCATTGTGCTATGCACATTATGTCATTTTTCTCATTTTATTTTCATGGGGTTTTTTTTCCCCTCTCATGTCATCTTGAAACAACTTTCTGAACAGAAACTGTATTTCCAACTTTCAGATTAGGAAGCTGAGGCCCAGAGAATTTAAATAGCTGGTCCCAGATCCCACAGTTTGTAAAATTAAAAACAATAACAACAACAATAAAACATTAAAAAAAAAGAAGGGGTGGTACAGCCCTGGTCTGCCTGATGTGGGTATCCAAGGGCTCCTGTGTCTGCTGGTGGTGGAGGCAGGGACATGGGAGAGGTGGCAGGTACCACAAGTATGGAGAAGTGCATGGAAGAGAAAGAGAACATGGCTCCCTTGGAATCCAGTGTCTCTGGACAGCTGGAAAGGTCAGAGAAGCCTTCCCAGAGGAGATGAGTGCTGAGCTGAGCTTTGAGGGACAACCCAAAGAGCCCAGTGTTGGCCACAACTACTTCTGTGGGAGGAGATCCAGAAGAGAGAGGGTGTTGGGCCCTGAAACTGACCAAGCCATGCTCGCAGAGAAAAGTGAAAGGGATGAAAGTAAGAGAGCTTGGGTTTGGGAAGCCATTTGTGTGGCTGTGGGAGGTATCTAGCCAAGAGACATGGAGATGAGTCCAACCGTGTTGTCTAACCTGGTCTTTCCTCTTCAGCTTATGCTCAGCTGCAGCCACATCAGCTGCTCCCACAGCCATCAACAAAGCACCTGCAGCCCCAGTTTGTGATCCAGCACCAGCCGCAGCTGCAACAGCACCCCCAACCACCACGGCCTGCTCCCCAAGCCCAGGCCCAACCCCAGCTAGCCTCAATTCCCCCAAGTGTGGCTCTGCAGCCCAGCTCAGAAGCCCACACCATGCCACTAGGCCCAGCTACACCCACCCTGCCACTCCAGTGTCCCACTGCCCATCTACACAAGCCCATCAGCAGTCAGCAATGTCACCCTTCCACGCCTGACCCTGGGCCTCAGAATGGACATCCCGAGGACATGTCCCACACCCCTCAGCGCAGGTTCCAGCACACCTCAGCTGTCATCTTACAACTACAGCCTGCTTCGCCAGTGGTGAGTAAGCTGACCCCAAGGTGCAGGGAGCAAACAGGGAGGCCATGACTCAGTTTCCATTCAGATGTTTTTGTGGGTAGGCTAAGTGTTGAAGTCATCTCTGGATAGTCCAAGAAAGAAGACAGGGCTCTCCCTAACTTGGGGATGCCTGAGTTTAAGGTCCTTGCCTGCTACTACAAGTTCTGTGGAAACCGGGGTAGGTCTAAGAATGCAGTCATTGTATAAGCAGACTGATCTTTCTGTCCTGCCCCTCAACAGCCTCAGCAGTGTGCCCCTGATGACTGGAAAGAAGTGGTGCCTGGGGAGAAGAGTGTGCCTGAGACTCGGTCAGGCCTATCACCACATCAGCAAGCCATTGTCACTGCCATGCCTGGTAGCCTGCCTATACCCAAGAGCCCTAACATCCAGCAGTGCCCAGCTCACGGTATGAAGCACAGCTGGGCCCCTGGGGGAGGGAAAGAAGACAGCCTTCCTTGCCATCCCCTGGCACCTTGCACTTGGGTGTCAAGAATGGGAGGGTAAACCACTGCAAGCCCAACAAGGCAACGAGGGTACTGGGCATTTGGAAATGGGAGGGAAATAAGAAGATGAATCAGGGAGAAAAACAGAGAACCTGGAGGATATAAGGGTGAATGGGTAGAAAAAATAAAAAGGAGAGCTGAAAGTTCTAGAACCAGATTCTGAGGCCCACATGTCATTGATGCCAGATGTATGTGCATGTACAGGTGCCAGGTAGACAGTTGAGGCAGAGGCCCAGTAGTTACAGATCTTGCCTTTATTTAGTATAAGAAAGAGTTCTTGAAATTGGAATCAAGGTGCTCCAGTATATAAAAGGTAAGGGAAACACTTAGGGTGAGTTAGAAGGGGATTCAAAGTGAGTTCAATTCACAGAGAGCATCTTTGAGGGAAGTTGCTCAGCTCTGGGGTCCCTATATGTCTGTCTGTGAGTTACAAGAGTTCTCCATGGCCTGGGTTTAAGGAGCCTCTGCTGGATCAGTCCACCATGATGAGAGAGACGCAGCAGTATCTCCAGCCTCTGCAACAATCCATTTGCTTCCTTCCCTCACTGCCAATTTGCACAGCAATCTTGGCCCAGATCTCAGTGACATTTTGTGCCACAGTCTGTCTGCAACTCAGGGAGGCAGTTCCAGTAATGATGCTAAGTATGTTCTGGGAGGGGAGTAGGAGACGCAAGAAAAAAAGAGTTTTCTTTGTAAATGAGAGGAGAAATGAGAAGAAAAATATTTTGGGATAAGATAGGGTGAAAAGTTTATAAAGTCCTGTAAGGAATAGGGGATGGGGTGAAGGAAATGGAAAGCAAAAGAATGTGGAGAAAAGACATTAGAAAAAGTAAAAGATGGGAAGGAGGTCATCCATTCTCTCTCTGTACACTATCAATGACAAGAGGCTTATTTTGAAAAGCAGCCCAGAGGCTGAGAGGTGACATGACTCAGGTAGAGAGCTACCCTGGCATATATAAGGCCCTGAGTTCAATCTCTAGCCCTGAAAAGGAAGGAAGGCAGGAAGACAAGCAACCAGCTCCTTCCATTGTGGAATCGCTTTATCAGAAAGATGCTCTTCAAATTAAGCCAATAGCTGTTTCTCTGGATCTTGGCCCCATTGGTCATGATTCCATCTTGTGAATTACATACAGTGTAATACATACGTACATACATACATGCAGTGTAGACATTTGTCATGTCTTTTGCATCTCCTTCTCATTAAAAAGAGAAAGAATCTCCAGGCTAAAGACCTGAGATTTTTCATTTTTCCCTTATGACATTCCTCCATTCCCATCATTCTGGTTGTGCTTGTCTATCCACATTCTACCTTTCATTATTCTCCGAAAGTGCAGTACCCCCAAAATCAGATTAATTCCAAGTATAAAAGGCCACTAATCCTTATAAGCCTGTTAAGAGGTAGACTATTTTCTAGATCCATATGGAATTGTAGGAAGGCACTAAAATTTTTCAAACACCTACTGTGTGCTAGGTAACAGTTGTATTTTTATCATTATTCAGAAGAGGAAACAAAAGTTTGAAGGAGTTTCAGGTTACACACCCTGCCTCTGGCTCCTAGTACAGTAGCTCCTCGCTGTCCTTCATCAGGCCAATACATTTGTGGCCTCACATTAACTCTTCTGACCACAGGAATAATGCTGTTGGTTCAGAGGACAATATCAACTGAATGCCAGAGGCCTGGGTTTAGTTTTGTTTTTGTTTTTGAGGTCACTTTTTACTTGAACTGCTTTATCTTCCAAGTCTCCTCAGTCTCTCACTTTGTGTGATTTATATTTTGAATCAAAATACAATTATATCTGCTAAATATTATCTTGTGAACTCATCCCAAAGTTCCAGCTTAACAAGTGATTAGTAATAGTTAATAGCTAACATTTATTGAATTCTCCCTGACTGGCTCCCCATATATTTCTTCATTTAATCCTGACAATAGCCTCTGAGGTAGGAAACTTTCTTATCCCGGTTTTAAAGATGCAAAAACTGAGGCACAGAGAGAATAAGTGATGGGGCCAGAATCTTTTATATCTGAATTCTGTTATTCATTATACTAACTCATCTGCTTAATGTAGCCACCCATAAAGTACACAGTATGTTTTCTTTATCTTTACCAATGTGCTTATAGAAATGTATAGGATCTGACTGAGGACACATGCCTTGTCTCCAGGCTGCTGTTCTTTGTTCAAGTATTTGTTATCTAACAACCCCTAAATGAACTGATATTTACCTACCTTTTCCCATCTTGTTCATAATGCTCTCAAAAAAACTTTTTTGAAATGTAATCAGGGTGGTCAACACATAACAAGCATCTTGCTCTTGAGGTCCTATCTATCTTGTGAGAGAAGTAAGCCTTGCACAGTGGAAACAGTGGCCAAGGACCCACAACTTAAATACACATTCATGTGTATGTTTGAATGCCTATTCTGTTTTGGACATCTGTGGGACAGAAGGCAATACACAGAGAAATAAGGTCTGTACACACTTTCAAGGAGCTTAAGGTCTGTTGGGAAAGATGAAAATTACATGGGAAGAAAATGAAAATGAAAGCTAAAATGTGATAAATGCTTCAGAAGGATTTTAGGTAAGTGCTTTACAAGTTACAAAGAGGGAAATTCTACTGCCAAGTAGAGATTATCAGTGTAGACCTCAGGGAGGACTTGGCAATGCTGTATAGCAGGGGTTGACAAACTATAGCCCCGGGTCCACATCCATCACATTGCCATTGTTAAACAGCCTGAAAGGTTAATAATTTTAACAATCAAAAGAATACTATTGGGCCAGGGATTTAGCTCAGTGGTTCTGCTGCTTGCCTTGTAAGCACAAAGATCTGAGTTTGATCCCCAGTACCAAAAAAAAAAAAAAGAATACTATTTCATAAGAGACTCAGAACACTGAGATACAGATTTCAGTGTTCATAGTGAAATTCGTTTGGAACACTGCCACATATATTCATGTGCATATTGTCCATGGCCAAGGGGCTGGTGGAGCAGTTGGGACTGAGACCATATGGCCTGCAAAGTCTAAAATATTTCCTCCCTGGTCCCTTACAGGAAAAGTTTGCCAGCCACTGTTCTTGAGTCTGGACCTTGTAGGATGGGTGGGACCTGGACATGGCAAGGTTGGGGAAAGACCATTCCAGGAAGGACCAGCAGAAGTTGGAGTGGGAGGACAGGAAAGTGTGTGCATCTTTAGGATAAGAGAGAAGTTGAGTATTCAATCTTGTTAGTTTATCAAGCAAATTGCCAAGTTTAAGAAATGCAGAAGCAGAGAGGGGGTAAATGTGAATATTGGGGAAAATGTGAATATTAGTGAAAAAGTGATTTGAAAATTCAGAAAGGGGGGAAACAAAGGATTGGGGGGAAATGAAAGAAGTAAACGTTCATGGAATATGAAATAAATGTAAAATGTGGAAATAAAAAGATGAGACTGGAAAGGGAAAAGCAGGTGAAGAGAGAAATAGAATGATACAGAATGACTGTAAATACTAAGAAAGGCATGGGGAAATATTGGGACTAGAAAGTGGTCAAAAATGGGGAGAGAAATTTATTGTGATCTGTGCAGCAGCTAGTGGGATGAGAATTGTGGGTTAGGTCTTCATACCCTCATAGCTTAGGAGATGAAGGTGTGCGCCCCCACACACACACACACACAGTTCAGGTTAAACCAGTGTTTTGGGGAAAAAACTTACATTTATTGGGCTCCTACTGTGCACCAGGCACTGCAGACAATGTATAGATCTATTAGCCCTCACATTCATTAAACCTAACAGGCAGGGATTACACCCTTTATGGAGGTATGACTGGGTCACTTCTGTCATTACTTCATCTCCCTGATCCTGGTTCCCAGTGGGGAGAATAATGACTACTTGCAAGGTTACTGTGAACAATAATGGAGGGGCTGCGTGCATTAGGCCCAGACACATACTAAGCCCTCAATTACTGGCGGTCGTTATTAGGATGCTTGCCTCTGAGGCCCCACAGATAGTGAACCGTCGACGCAGGAATACCGAGGTATCCTGGGAGCTGCCTGGGAGCGAGGACCGCGAGGACAGCAAAGACCGCAGTACTAGGCCCCGCTCTCGCCTCCACTGACCCAGAACCCCACCCCACCCCCGCGCCTGGGGTCCCGCCGCGCCTTCCGGAGAACGCGGGGCGGGACCGGCCGCACAAAGGAAGCGCGCGGCCCGAGGCCCCGCCCCGCGCCGCCCCCGCCAGCCCCGCCCCGCCCCCGGCGGAGGCGGCCGCGGGAGTCGTCCCGGACGCGCCGCATTGTTTCCGCGGCGCTGCAGCCCTCCTTCGCCCGTCGCGCGCGCGCGCAACCCAGCCGCCACCCGCGCCCCCGCCCGGCCTCGCGCCCCCGCCTGGGCCAGCGCTCCTGTCGCCCTTTGTTGAGGCCGGCCAGGCCGCTGCGGTCGAATGCGCCGCGGCAGCCCCGGGCCCCGGCTCGGAGGCTCCCGGCGGAGAGCAGTCGGCCCTCCCGGGCCCGGGACCCCGCGCGAGGCGGCGCTGGGCCGTGGGGCTCCGTAGGCCCCGCCCGGCCAGGCCCAGCCGGGCCCTGGACAGGTCAGTGCCGGGGCGGGGGAGGGGTGCTCTCCGGAGGGCCCGGGCCGCGCCGCGCTGGAGACTGGGCACCGCCCTCGGCCGCGCGGCGGGCCTACTCGGCTGCCAGGCCGTGCCAGTCGCCGGCTCGGCGCCAGGGAGGTGCCCGGGGACCTGCTGCCCTCCCGCCCGCCCATCCGCTCCAGGCCCACGGGAAGCCGCCGAGTCAGCCTCGTGTGTCCCGGTCCCTGGTCGCCCGCGCCCGCCCCGGGAACCCGACTTCCAGGCGGATCGACTACACCTATCCAAGAGGCTGCGGCCTCGCTGGAGTTTTGTTCTTAATGTAGTTCAGCCTCACGAGGTTTCTTATT